CTCAGAGCAGGCAGAAGAGTTATGTGGACACCCGGAGGAGAGATTTAACGTTTGAGGAAGGCGACCAGGTGTTCCTTAAGGTCACTCCTTTTAAGAGAATCAGTAGGTTTGGCAAGAGGGAAAAACTGAACCCCTGATTTATTGGACCATTTGAAGTCTTAGACATGAGATTAAGGATAAACAAGAATGGGATGTGATCTGATAAATTGTTCGGCCTGGAGCTGGTAGAGGACACTACATCTAAAATAGTTAAGAAGAAGAACATTCAGACGGCTCAGAGTAGGCAGAAGAGTTATGTGGACACCCGGATGAGAGATTTGGCGTTTGAGGAATGCGACCGGATGTTCCTTAAGGTCACTCCTTTTAAGAGAATCAGTAGGTTTGGCAAGAGGGAAAAACTGAACCCTCGATTTATTGGACCATTTGAAGTCTTAGACAGGAGATTAAGGACAAATAGGAATGGGATATGATCTGATAAATTGTTCGATCTGGAGTTGGTAGAGGAGACTACATCTAAAATAGTTAAGAAGAAGAACATTCAGACGGCTCAGAGCAGGCAGAAAAGTTATGTGGACACCTAGAAGAGAGATTTAGTGTTTGAGGAAGGCGACCGGGTGTTCCTTAAGGTCACTCCTTTTAAAAGAATCAGTAGGTTTGGCAAGAGGGAGAAACTGAACCCCCGATTTATTGGACCATTTGAAGTCTTAGACAGGAGATTAAAGACAAACAGGAATGGGATGTGATCTAATAAATTGTTCGGCCTGGAGTTGGTAGAGGAGACTACATCTAAAATAGTTAAGAAGAAGAACATTCAGACGGCTCAGAGCAAGCAGAAGAGTTATATGGACACCTAGAGGAGAGATTTAGCGTTTGAGGAAGGCGACCGGGTGTTCTTTAAGGTCACTCCTTTTAAGAGAATCAGTAGGTTTGGCAAGAGGGGGAAACTGAACCCCCGATTTATTGGACTATTTGAAGTCTTAGACAGATGATTAAGGACAAACAGAAATAGGTTGTGATCTGATAAATGGATAAGGTGACAATCTCACTAGATATCCTGGGATATGGTGGACGGATCGGATTCATAAGGAACCCTACCGTGAATGTTGTCTCATACCGGACGGGGTATGGAGACTTGGTCATTTGGTGCTCATACCAAACGGGGTATTGAGGTTTAATGTCTTGGCGCTCATACCGGACGGGTATGGGGACGGCCTTGGAATTAAGATTGTTAAGAAAAATGATTCATGTGTAGCGGGGACACCCCTATGGATCCCCATGGATACTAGTAGACTGGTGAAACGAGAAGTGGTGATGATCAATTATTGTTAATGAATACGAATTTATGATATATTCTATGTTACTGATTTTGCATGAAATTGTAATCTGTATGATAGTATTGCTTTTATAAATTGTTTCCATAAATTCTACAGTGGTAAGTGAACTGTAAATAATTTCATTTATGATAAACAAATCTATTTAAATCTACTGCTCCATTGGTTGTTTTTTATTTTCTACCAACATTTGCTTCTATGATGGCGATATATTGTGATATTCTTACTGGAGTAGTGTAACTCACCCTTTATTTAACCATTTTAGATCAGGATGACCTAGTTCCCGAGTCCAATTCGCAAGAAGGTTACGAGTAGATGCTATATACTTTATAATTTCTTTTATTTTTTCTATTTTTCGTATTTCTTTCAGAAAATTTGTTCTGTAATGTTTGTTAGTACTTATGAGTTATCGTGTAAAGGATATTAACATTAACTTTTATTTTATTTTCGTATTTAAATTATTATATGTATTTTTTTTTTAATTTTCGGAACCGTTACATATATACATGTGTGTGTCTATATATACATATAACTCGCAAGATGTATTAATTTCCCCTTTTTTTGCCAAAAATTAATAGTGGGTATTGGTTTATTGCAATAATGTATATGTGCATGTTTTGAGTGGAATAAAATGAAATAATTAAAATTTGAAATTGAAATCTTGGTGAAAGTTAAAGATAGTGGAAGTTCCACTAAGCATAATTTGAGGAACAACTAATCAGCATGGTTTTTAGAGATGTCAAATACATAAATATATATATATATGTATATATATATATATGTGACAACCACTTCATATATATAGCTCCTAACCCAACCCATTCAAATAATTACAAATATATAGCTAACCCACATGCATATACATATATATATATATATACACACAACATAATTTTCCACCAAATGACTTATCTCAATAATCCATATATGGATCAAACACTGAAATTTTGGTAGTGGGGTTAGACAGAGAATGTGTTTTACGATTTATCTCACATGCTTTTCATGCGCAGCTGTGTCTGGAGACACAATACACACACACACACACACATATATATATACATACATATACCTTATATTTTCCCATTATGAAAATTGATTTTCTAATATAATGAAATACGGAATTAGGCAAAGAATAATTAATAAATTAGGACTTGCTTAGAAACTGAATAATTTTTAGATAATTAGTGATTAAGTCACGCAATTTATTTGGCTTTAATGGATAATAAGTTTGAAGTTTTCCATATAATTAAAGCGGGACATACATGGTAATTAAAGATAATAATTATGAAATTGAAAGTAAATTACAAATGAACCCCACTTTATACATATTTAGAAAATCTAATCAGAAATAATTTTTTTTTTTTTTTTTAAT